TCATCACAAATTCGCAGAATCAAAAAATTGAATCCACAAATTCAAATAATAGAATTCGTGCCACGCAAAATACAAAAAAATTGAACTAAATAATGAGGTAGACCTTAAACCCAATAGGAGATTTCAACCTCCTACTAGGCCTTTCAGCCCAATGAATCCAATAACTTGAGAAAAGATGTCTACAGCTGTCCTTTTATAACTCTTTTCCCTTGAAGTGCTTGTGAATCTACCTATGTGGGATCAAAAGTGTAGACTGTCATTTTTAAAGTTGTCTTCCCATTGAACTTCTTGTTACTCCACTGATGTGGGAAGGGAGCTTTGTTCTAAAATGTCCATTACCATTTTCCTTATTACTTTACATAATCATATTTATCATTTTTAATATTTTCACATCCTCTTTTTTAGTGTATATCACAATGTTATATATATAAATTTGGCACTCTCAATGACGCTCTCGCTGTCAAGTTTTTTTAAAATTTTACACTCTCACACTCCCGCTCTCGCTCCGCTCTATGTGACTTAGATTCAAGACTTTAAACCTTCATAATGTTTCTTGTTCACAAAAAAAAAAAGAAATAATAATAACCGAAATAAAGCATTCTTCCGAACAAAACTGAATAGATGAAGTTCAAAGGAATTGCTCATAGCCTTATGCTTCCAGGATTTGGTTTCTAAATAACTACATTTTGCTTTTATCCAAAACTCATTCAAAACCATATTCGTAAAGGGAAGTGAAGATAAACAAAAACATGCTGCCAAAACACATCCCTCAAAAGAGCAAGTGTGTGTAGATAACTCTGTAGACAACTCTTGTTATACGAGGGATTAAAGCACTAGAAGTAGTATTTCAGGATCACAACAACAGTCACCACCAAAAACAATGATAAAAACATTATATTAGTGGGGGAATACACTATTGACAATAAAAAGGTCGATACTATGACCATCCCAAAACCAGTATGCGCCTAAGTTTCTCAGTAAGTTTTGAAAATGTTGTGCCCAATACTTAATTATAATTACAACTCTTTTCCAGGAAGTTTAAAAAAACTTAAATATTTTTTTCCTATTATTATTTGCTATGGTTCATTGACTAAGCTCATTCTTTTTATACTAAAAATGTCTAACGGTTCCAAGACCGACAATAAATTCCTTTCATCATCATACATCATAATCAGAATCAAGTCACGTTAAGGTCCCATTCGCTATCATCATGTCAAACCATTTTTCTCTTTTAAACACATTCAAATAAAACTTCCTCCTCCGAGGCCTATTCTTTCTATGATTATTCCCTCCCCAAGGTGGTGTCTAATTTTTATATCCCTTAGGCTGTTGAAAATCAAGCATTTATTTCGACTGGTCGATGGTATACTTCTTTCTTTAACAATCTCTTTGAATTCTGTAGCTCTTTTGATCAGCTTTGAAAAATTGGTGATTCCAACTGGGACCAATGCGCACCGCATATCATAGTACAATCCTCTAACTAAAATAGCAACTCACTTTTCGATTAGAGTAGTTTGCCTTCTTGTTATCAAAAAGTTCTCATCCCTCACTTCAAATGTAGACTCCCGTATTATTTATTATGGTTAGGTAAATAACTCAAACTCAATAGCATAGTCATTCTCACTCTCATAAGACCAAAACAAAACAATTATCCAAGTCTTTCTAAAAGTTCATAAATTATTGAAGCATTTAGGAGCCACATCATAATCAATACGTAGGAAACGAAAAAAGATAATTGCATTACAATGCATAATTACCTTGTGTAAGCTGATATTATTTCATCTTTAGTAAAGCTATCCTCTTGAGAACCAATGTCATGCAAGTATAAACAATCAGAATTGCTGCAGGGCTGGACAAAAAAAATTCCAATAATCAAAATTATTACATTTAATCAATTTCTCTAAAAAAAACATCTATATAACCAATAAATCAATCCCCTCTTGCTCAGTTATTTGAGGATCATACCACATTTCTAAGCCATGCATGACAATATTTTGTGGTTCCAAAGCAAGCCCTGTAAAATGAAACTCCAAAAGATTATATGGAAGTCGCAAAAATTAGATTGTAATTCATTCATACAAATGTGTGCCCACCTCAAAGATCTGCCCTCCAGGACAAATCCGTGTACATACTGAATACAACGAACTGCTTCATTCTCTTTGGAATAAGTAATATATCTAAGCCAAAAGACACGTGCGAGAACAGGAAAAATTAATAGTGGTTAAGCAAGACTACGTAACAAGCTAAGAGACCAACAGCAGATCAATTACGACAATGAACGTAACAAACCCCCCACCCCCCAAAAAAAAATAACTAAATAAATAAAATGATAAACTCTAAAACCAAATAAGCATGATATGTCCGAAACAATAAAATGCTAAGAAATTCAGCAGCCCAAGCATAAAGATGCCTAAAGAAATTGCTAACTCAAAAATGCTACCATAACCATTGAGGTGAGTAATTATTAGTGATATTGATAGCATTTGAACTTACACACTACAAGTATTGTTTGCACATTGTTGAATGGTACCAGCTGCTGTCCGAGATATAGACACCTTCAGCACCTTTCCATACTGACCAAAATATTCATCTCGCTGGAGAAGCTGTAGATAAACAGAAAGATTGATAAATAGACAGAAAAGAGGGGTTTTTTGAGAATTTTTTCTTTTTTTTTTTTTTTGGCGGGAGGTCTGTGTGGGGGTGGGGGGAGAGGAGGAGAGTAAACTACATACATCTTCATCTGCTAAATTAAGAGGTAACCCAACAATGTAGACAAGGTTCCGTTGAATCACTCGCACATTGCCAAGTTGCTTCCTTCCTTCAGATGTTCTATTTTTTGGCTTCTGTGACTTCGATTTTTTCTCCACGAACCTGTTGGTATTTTTTTTTATAGGAAACATAACTGATATATATTAAAAAATATAGACAGTACATGAAAAAGGTTGAATAAGAAATCAACCAAGAAAAGGTAATTACAAAAAGAAGAAAAACATCAAAAGCTCTAAATCACATGAAGCTCTCCGTCCCTCCCACGAAGATAGCAAAAAGCAGAATCTCTTTAAAATCCTTGGAAGTCAAAGCCCAAAATGAAGCGATGAAATTAATACGGTTCCATAGCCCATCAAACAATTCACTTTGATCTTCAAAAATTCTAGCATTCCTTTCTTTCCATATATCCCAAAAAGTGGCAAGAATTATTGCACATCTCCATAGCGTCACTCCTTTAACAAGTTTTTTAAACCCATTCAAGTCTTCAGCCAAAAATGACGTAGATAACTTGGGAAGAACCCACATTAACCCAGCCAAGCTAAACAACTTATATCACAAAGCCAATGCCAAAGGACAATGAATGAACAAATGATCAATACTTTCAACTTCAGACTTACACATCACAAACCACCGAGTGGATATACAACTAGTTGGTCTTCTTTTTTGAAGCATATCGTTGGCATTAATCTTTCCATGTGCAATAGTTCTTGCAAAAACTTGTTCCTCAATAGGCACTTTAGCATTCTAAATCATCAATGCAAGAAAAAAGAGATGATAAGAAGATTCTTCCAGCAAAAAAACAAAGAAGAATTGGATAGAGAAAACACCTGAAGAGTCAAGGACACATCTTCTTCAATCACATAAATCAACATTCGACTGGGAATTGTTAAGAATAGCAAGAAGTGACACCAACTCTATAGAATCCCTATCATCTAATTCCTACGAAAACCGAAGTCCCAAGACTTCAGTTGATCATAAGATCTCAACATATAAGCAACAGAAGCCCTGTGAAAGGATGATAAATGATAAAGACATGAAAACACATTTTTAAAAGATAACCCCCCTAACCATATGTCCTCCCAAAAACGAACTCTCTCTCTATTACCCACCACCAAATGAAGACTTTGGGAAAACCTCAACAATCTGTGATATAGAAATGGCATCGGTAGCTTTCCCTTTCAATCGTGTTAGTGTCTCATCCATTGGTCAAAAATCCATATTTGCTCTACATAACTAAATGCCACAAAAAAACTATGTTCTAAGAGAAACCTTCAAAGCCACTTAACCACTAAATAATACTTCTTGCCTTTAAATTTTCAATCAAAAGACTACCTTTATAGAATCTAGAAACCATTTTCCAACTAATTAAGTGATCATTTCTCCCCTCTCCACCTCGTTCCCACAAGAAATTCCTCATCATTTTCTCAATTTTTATTACAATCTTGGTCATTAACTTAAACAAACATAAAAAGTAAATGGGAATACTAGATAAAACGGACCGAACTAAAGTTAACCATCAAGTCTTTTTCCCACCCTTTCCACAAATGAATCGCAAAAAGATAAAGATAATTGATTCTCAACCAATTAATAGGCAGTTCCCTACCTTGCCCCCCAAAAGTTTTGCAACTTTATTGATCTTATCATGGTGTGAATTTATACCCACAATCAAACTTTAATCCATATTCTCCTTCAAGCCAGATATAATCCCAAACACATCTACAATATTCTTAAATTTAGCATTTTTCCCTCATCCCCAACAGAAAAAAATATAGTATCTACAAATGTGAAACATAAACCTTATCCATCGCTACAATAAATCCTTCCACGAGATTAGAACCTTCAGCCCTTTTCACTAATCTACTCAACTCATATGCAACTAAAGTAAAGAGAAAGTGTGCTAAAGGATCAACCAGTCTCAATCCTTTATAAGTCTTAAATACACCCCTTAGTTTTCCATTCATCATAACAAAGAAGTTCATAGATTGCAGACAACCCATTATCCATTTCCTCGAGTGATTTCCAAAGCCTTTCACTTCCAAGACAAACTTCAAAAAATCCCACTCCACATGATCATAAACCGTTTCAAAATCAATATTAAAAACAAAGCCTTCATTTGTCTTGCCTCTATATTCCTCCACCACCTCATTAGCCATAAAGCAACATCAAGAATTTGCCTACCTTTAATAAAAGCACCTTGACACTCACAAAAAATATCCCTAAGATTAAAAAGACTAGATATCAAGCTTATTGGTCTAAAATCCCTGATTTTCATGAACTTGTCTTTCTTTGGAATCAAAAAAATGTATGTAGCATAAGGATCAAAATTTCGTTTCGAAGTACCGTTTCGGTCAGCTCAAAAATGGAAACGTTTCGGAAACGCAATGAAAACGCATAGAAACACAAATACAATCCATTAATTTATAAAGATAAGTTAAATAATTGATTAATTCAACATATTTATTGGGTTAACATCCATTTATACAAGAATAAATTTAAATTTGAGGAAAAAAAAGGCTTGACATGTGGCAAAAATCACTTAAATTAGTTTCAAACACTTAATTTTTATGAAATAAACATATTTTTATATAATATTAAGGTCTTATAATACACATGAAATGCTGATGAGTACATACTTACATGGCTGCATCCAACCCCCCGTGGAGTGTCGAGCAGGCTCTGGGTAGCTACTTAGATAAACTCCATATGTGACATAAATATGATAACAATAGTTACTCCAACTGATATTATTACGGTAATATTATCCAATTAATAATACTATTTTATTATAATACTAATAATGAAGGGTATCAAATTAAATTAATGGTACTTATGTATACTTAAAAATTAAATGTAATTGTAATGGGTATTAAATGTAATTACAGTGGGTATTAAATATAATTACATTAGAGTATTAAATGTAATTGTTAATACTTATAAAAAAAAAAAAAGCAAAAGACTTGCACAGCAATGGGATATTAAATATAATTACAATGGGTATTAAATATAATTAAAGTAGGGTATTAAGTGTAACTATTTATTCTTATAACAAAAAAATTATAAAAGGCGGAAGAGCAATGAGAATTAAATGTAATTATAGTGGGGTATTAACTGTAATTACAGTGAGTGTTAAATGTAATTAGAGTGGAGTATTAAATGTAATTATTCATAATGAACCGAATATATCACTGTTTCGTCGAAATGGTATTATTTCGATCGAAACGGTCCGAAACAGTACCGTTTCGATCGAAACACCGAAATTTTGTGATTCAACTACTGTTTCGTTTCGGAGTGTTGAAATTCCGAAACGTTTCGAACGTGTCGACACAACATTTTGATCCTTGATGTAACATTAGTTTATAACATTAACAACACCATTATGAAAAAATTCACCGAAAACATTCATCAAATCCCCTTTAATTATATCCCCACAATCTTGAAAAATAGTCAAAGTGAAGTCATCAGGACCCAAAGCTTTGTCTCTACCACACTCAAAAATAGTATTTCTCACTTCCTCCTCAAAAGGTCTCTCTATCCACTTAGATGTAACCTAATCAATACAAATCCACTCCAATCCTTCCACATTTGGTTTAACAACCCTCTGAGATGAATATAATTGGGCAAAGAACTCTAGAATGTTACTCTCAATCATTCCCTTATCTTCAATGATCACTTCATCATCCAATTCCATTTTTTCAATGAATTTCTTCTTCTTCTTACCATTCGTGATCCTATGAAAAAGTTTAGAATTGTTATCTCCTTCTTTCAACCACTTCACGCTATGCATTTTGTCTCCAACTAATTCCTTCTTTGAACACTACCTCCTCAAAATTATTTATTAACTCCCATCTTTCCCTTCTCAAATTCTCATCTAATGTAACACTCTCTTCAATCTTGTCATACTCTCCTATTCTATCCATGGTTAGACTTTTTTTGACTCTTATATCCCTAAAAACTTCTTTATTCCACATTTGAACCTTCTATTTCACATATTCCAACTTCTTCATGAATCTATAACCTTCCCAAACGTGAAAACTTCCTTCCCCTCACCACACCCTAAATTGTCATCCGAATGCATGATGTTCAAACCACATATTCTCAAACCTAAGAGTCAAAGACGAATTGGGAACAACAGAGCAAAGCAATGGTCTGACACAACCCTCGTCAAAATCTCAAGTCTAATTCCCAGATAACATTCCTCGCACTCAGCAGAAAAAAGAAATCTACCAAATCTATTACCCAAAGGAGGATCCTTAAGCCCTATTGGTATGATACCAAAGTTCATGAACACAAGCAGATTAATAATCTAAATTTAGATGAATAAGAACGATAATATCATAGAGTTCAATTTTAAGATAGTATAATCTGAGAGTAACCTTTCACACATTGGTGTCATTCCGACAATCTTTTCCTTGTTATAAGGCGTACGACATGCTGGACATCGCCCTTCTGTCACATCTTTCTCAGCCATTTCCATTATGTGATGCCAGCACCAAACGCAGATCTGCAGAAAAGTGGAAGCAAATCCAAATATTATTTGGAAAAAAATTATGGCCACTCATAATCTGAATTAACAGTTCAATGCTACAGCTTGGACAAGATACCCAATATATTGAAACCAAATTATTGTGCTTAGCCTCATGGGAAAAACTTACTCAAGAAATGAGACACAGCTCAACATTCAACTAATACAATTACAAGCGCAAAAAGAAAGTTAATGTAATGACTCCTCTATGGTAGCTTAGATACCAAATGCTATAGCAGAAACTGCCCTTAATACGCACAGATGACAAAAGCAACGAACTTCCGCCATCACAACATGGTTATTTGTGACCAGCATCACAAGCGCCACATCAACAAGCAAATTAGTTAGCATTCAACCATCACAAAAAAATCGTTGCATTGGAACACTGACCAAAATTAGAGCCTCAAACAGCACAAAGTGACAACAGACAAAAAAACACATTGTCTTGTCCCACACATAATATTAACCAAGCGGTTATGCTGCCTTCAGACAATGGAGTATCCAAAGAGTTGGGGTATATTCACCTTATCTTAGACAAAAACGATGACTTTCGTTTCATAAAAGTTCTTTACAGTCTCTAACAGAAACTGAAGCAAATATTATATTACTCATTATACATCGGTATCTAGACATTAATAACTTGCTTTTCCTCTAGTCCTAAATAGTAATACAGTGACTGTGGTTTTGGAATACTTGAAAACCTCTCAACCAAAAATAAAATTAAAGAATGAGAATATGTCATTACAAAACCCAGAACAAGAGATTTAGGGGAAAGGTGCTTCAAACCTCATAACCGCACTTGCAAGGCTTCAACTGCTGGTCGGTCAAGTCCATCTCTTCAGCACAGAGGGGACAAGTTTTTTCTCCTTGGTCGCTCATGGTTGCCTAAAGACAAAAAAACAAGATCAAACACAATAAGACCCTAATAAAAACATTACAGTTTCAATAACCGCGGCTGACAATAACAGTAAGGCATTAAGTATCAACTTTTAGTCACCACAGAACTTTACTTCACATGCAACATTTAATTGATAGAACCCAATTGTCAATTTTATAATGCCACATTTTCACGGAATTGCAAACTATATCATCATAACCCATTTTTTTACCAAAAGAAAAGAATAACAGGAAAAAAACAAAAAAGGTTTCAGCATCTAAGGAGCAACAGAAAATCACAACTAACAGTCTCCCCAAATCCCAAACCAAACCCTTTAAATGTTATCATCCACTACCACCCACTTTTTCACATAAACTGAATGTTAACATGCATCGATCCAACATTAAAAAAAAAATTACATCGTAGAATCAAAGCTCTAAATTATTTCCGACATCAACACTATCTGGCAGAACAACAAAAATCACAGTCAAAACCAAGAATTCATTGAATTTTAACTACGCAATCACAATGAAAACTTCATCAAATCCCGATTCATACCACTATCAAACAGAAGATAACTCAGAGACAAAACCAAATCAATATAAAATCAGGTATAACAATCAAAAAACAAAGCCGATTAGAATAAATATACAAAAAATGGGGATCCAATCCAAAGCCATGACTTGGTAAACTTAGGGTTTCCGGATTGGATTTGGAAGCCTTACAATGGGTGATGGATGTAGACAAGGACGAATCGGAGCGGATTAGATTTGTAAAGAGAAGCAAAGTAGCGAACGAGACAGAACTAGAGATGAAGAGATAGAGAGAACCACAGGGCCGGTAAAGGGTAGAGAGAGAGAGAGTGAGAGAGGGGCGGGGCTGGGCTTCGTATGTCGCTGTCATTTAAATATTGAGAAAATCTTATAAATGCCTACTAAACTATAACCTTTGTTTTAAATTGCCCCTAAACTTTCAATTATCCCAATTTGTATCCTGAGTTATGTAAAAGTTATTCCAATTGATCTTTTCGGTTAAACTTAACTGTTAAATCCTACAATATGTAAGTTTTTCAATCAACCTCTACTGTTAATCCCAACAGAAGGAGTTAGTTGAAATAAATTACATAATTTATAGGAAAAATTAAGATAACTGAAAATTTAAATGATAATTTAAAACAAATATCATAGTTTAGGGGTGTTTATGAAATTTATCCTTAAATATTTTCTTGGATTACTAATGCCCTTCGAATAATTGGATTTTATTGATGGATTCTTTGGAAATCGGTACATTTAATTAGACTTATTTGGCAAAAAATACATAGAATAAAATATGAGTTAAAAAGACATAAATGCTCATTTTAGGGTCATTTAATTCAAAATTTCTTATTTTTAATTCACTTTGATTCATGTGTGATTGTTAATACATATAAATACGTATTTAATGCACATTTGATTCATGTGTATTTATTAATACATGTAAATATATATATTTGTTATTAAATATCTTATTTAAATTTTAAATTATCTTTAATGCACTTTGATGCATGTTTATTTTTTTTTTTAAAGTGATTTTTTTTTCAAATTATATTTAATGCACATTGATTCAAACTTTTTTTTTTTTTTTGGAAAATAGTTATATTTTCAAATTAATTTAATATCCGAATAATGTAACAGTGTAATAATAACAGTGTAATAAATACACTGTAACAAAAATAGTGTTCAGCAGTTTTATATATATAGTAACAAATTCAAAACGGAGATGGACTATTTTGAATGAAATTATATGAAACTATATGTTTGATAAAATGTAATAGTACAATATTTTGAATAAATATATTGTTACACTATTATTGTTATATTGTTATATTATTAGTGTTACACTTTTATTGTTACATTGTTACACTTATTATTGTTACACTATTAAGAAAAAAAATTAATTTGAAAATAAAACCACTTTCTAAAAAAATGCATGATCCAAGGTGCATTAAAAGATAATTCAAAATTTAGATAAGAGATTTAACAACAAGTATATAAATACATACATACATAATATATATATATATATATATATATATATATATATATATATTAAAGTTCTCTCATAAAACTAGGAGATGTTTAATGCACCACTTTCCAAAGAAAAGTGGTGTATCAAATACACATGGATTAATGGAGGGCAAAAATGTCACAATAAAAATAGATAAATTCAAATTATGTACTTTGATACAAATAAGTATACTTTTTAGTGTATACTTTTTGTCAAATAAATCTAATTTGGTGTATTTCCTTACAATTTACCCTTTATTGATACAATTTCCAAAAGTAAAAGTTGGCTTGTAACCATCCGGCCCATAGATCAATGGATTGGGCCCAAAGTCCAGGTCAGGTAATGGTGTGTTAACCTCAAAATGGAGGCCATTTCAAGGTAAAAAAAAAATTGTGAAAAGATACACTATATACGAGTTATTTGTGATGAAGTATCTTAATATAAATCTTCTATGTATAAGTCTTTTTTTGTATAAATATTTTGTGACCAGATACACTTTAGCTTTTTTTTAATATTTTATTTACATAAAAGCCCTTTTTCTTTTTTTGTAGAAAATAATTTAGGTAGTTAATTGTGCGATTCAATTTTCCTATTTTATTAGAAAAATTTTCTTATTTTTTTTATTCTATTTTAATGGTTAAGTGGTTTCCTAAATTAAAGGATAATTAATTGTTTGAATTTTGAAAAGATTTTATTAGTTTAAAAAAAAATCTATTCTCTCTCTATATATGACTCTCACCGTTAATATATCTCTCTCCCTATTTTATCTTTCTTTTTCTCTCTCTCCCTATTTTTCTCTCTCTCTTTCTCTCTCAAATTCATTTTCGCTCCCATCGTTACTCTCCTCTCCCTATCCTCTCTCTCTCTCTCCCCTTTATTGTATATCTTTGTTTATGCATTTAAGTCATATTGTGTGATACTCACTCTGTGCAAAACACTGTATATGATGTTTGTTTTATAATGTGACATTGAAGTCACACTTTTGATGCCTACACTATGAAAAAACAATGCATATGATGTGTAGTTGCATTGTGACATTGAATTCACATTGTAATCCTCACCATGTGTTTTTGAATCTTTATGTGATGTGTGTATGAAATGTTACATTGGAGTTACAGTGTGATATCATTCATGTGCAAATCTCATATATTATATCTATATGCAGTGTAAAATTAACATCACATTTGTGATGCCCATAATGTGTCAATCCCTAGGTCACACTATGGTACATTTCATATGTCAAAACATGCATATGTTGTGCGTATACAATGGACATTGATGTCACATTATAATATCCACAGTGACCTAACTCTGCATATGTATTTTACAAGCAGTATGATATTGGGTCACAGTATATGTGTCACAAAATATATAAAGAGAGAGAGAGAAAAATAGTCATTATATTAGAAAGTATTTAAAATTAAACAATTTTGATTTGCGTTAGCTTTATTTTTGTCACAATATATATATATATATATATGAGATATAAAGAGAGAGAAAGAGCTCTAATATAAAGGAAACTCTAAAATTTAAGAGTTTTAGTTTTTAACTTAATTGGTTTCCTTATCTGATTTTTTCAACAGTGATGTGATGATGTTAGGGGTATTTTGGTCCTTCTCCTCCAAAGTGTGTTTTTTGCCAAATGTTTTTTGAGTTTGTACTTAAAGTCAAATAAGTTATAAAAAATGTATCGGCTTCCAAAAAATCCTAAAAAAAGGTCTTTTAGAAGGCGGTACACTAAATTGAACTTAATTTGTCAAAAAGAAATACTAAAAAATGTTTTATAAAAAAAATCCACTTGTGACATAGAAAGACTTGAATATCCTTTCATTGTAAATCAGTTTCCTAAAATCAATTTTGAAAAAAAAATCTCATATTAATTATCTCCACAGTAGTCAGTCTATTTGTCTAGCACGCCCCTTCATCTTATGAACACACTCAACCAAATAGTGTTCATCTTTCTCTCGCCGAAGACGGTTCAACTATCATTCTTCCTTTGAAAATGAGGGGTTGAAATCAAAACAAAAATCAAACTCATGTAGATATGTTTTATCTTACTCTTTGAACAATATTTTATTTCCTGTTCTTTCGAGATACGCTACACTGATCGTCAGTATTCTAGATCTGCAACGATTACTGAACAACAATTTTGGGACTGCAACTTGAGCAACCATTTTGGTTCTACAATCTAAACAGTAACGACCCTTTTTTATTCAAATTCCATGTCTCTGTGATGCTTCAAACATCATTGAACACTATTTTGTTTTTGATTTTCATGTCTTTGCAAAATGTTTTTTTTTTTTGGTTTTATTTAATCTGGGCAAATTTGATTGTGTATGTAAAATTAGTGGAAACAATGGAGTCGCAATTAAAAAACTACGTTGTGTCATTGTACTGGAACCATTTTGATTTTACCTAAAAACCAAAAATCATTTAATCTTGAAACCCTAGTTTGTATTGGTTTTTTTTTTGGGGGGGCTGGTGGGTATAGTGATTTTTTTATGGGTATTTGGTACTTCGAACCCCAAAAACTATTGCTAATACATTGTGTTACTACATTTTTAAATTTTCGTTTGACAATTGAAACAGTGTAATTGCTTAACCCTAATGCATATTGTTCTTTGTGTTTTTTATTTTGTTTGGTGTTATAGTTTTTCCTAGCTCATTGATGATTTTCAATTGGTTGAACATGAGTTTCAATGTATCCTATTGCATGTTGCTTCTCATTTAGTGGTTGGGATTTTGTGGTTTTTGTTTTTGGAATTCAAAATCACTACATCTGTGGATGTAAATTTGGAAGTAAAATGGACTTTCACACTATATTAAAACGCTTTTAGGTTGATAAACCATTGACATTCAATTATATTTAGTGCAACATGTATTAAAACATTGTGTTGTGTCATTGTATTGCTACACTGTGTTGTGTTATTGTATTGCTACACTGTGCTGTTATACTTTCAATATAATTGTTTAGTAGCAATTGTGTTGACACTCTTTCAAACTACCTTTGATGCACACATCCTAGGTATTTTGATAAACTACCAGATTTACAATAAATGTTTTGTTGCTACACTTTGATGCACATTACATGATAACATGTGTGTTTTTCATTCAATATTTCTCGTCATGATTTTTTAGAATGTGTAAATTTTTGCAATATGTGTAACATTGGTCAGTCATGGCGAGAAAAAGAAAATCATCTATAAACAAATATGAACTCAGAATTAGAGAAACTGTGTTGGACTAAAGTGTGGTGCCATCATCTGTGAAAGAGGGTGGCAAACACAACAAACAATCTAAAAACCAAATGAATGAAGTGAAGTATGATTCAAAATACAAATCCAACATGTTTGTTGTTGTTAGGGCAATAGATGATATTAGGATAGGAGAAAAACACAAGGTTGTCTTGGAAAAAAAAAAGCCATTCTGGTTACTTTTTCAAAGTGTTATTGATAAAAAAAAATTGGACAAAACATGGTGTAGAAAGAGTGACAGTAACATCCTTGATGTTATATTGTGTTTTAATGTCAAGACCTCTAAGTTCAATATAAGAGGGGAGGAAATTAAATTGCAAAGAAGTGATATGAAAATCATATATAGGATTGAAGATGGGTGCGAGCCAGTAGATGCATCAATTCATAGGAAGAAAAACACAAAATTCGTGAAACATAAATTAAAGAAAGATAGCAAGTTGACTTCAGTATTGATAAAATTGTACCCCTTATGGACACAATGAGTTTGTTCACCAACAAGTTGTTCTACTCCAAGTTGTGAGGATGAAAAGAACCATTTGTGGTAGTATTTGGATCTTAGGGATCTA